CCTCATGGTACCTGCCTCCCTTCTGCCCGCTCCGCTGTCTCTTCTCTGCCCCTCTCTCTGTGTCCCAGTGCTGTCCTATCTCTCTTTCCCACCTCTGTGCCCTCAGTGAGATTAGTGAGGACAGTGATGCGCACGCATGTGTCCGTAAACACGGAGCACACACTGCAGCCCCACTATGCCCAGAAGGTGCGGAGTCACCCCGAGGCCACACAGGCCCCCTCTTGCCCTTCCATGGCCACCAACAGGCAGAGGCCCAAGCCCTGGCTCCCATGCTGTCACTCCTCCATGCCCTCTCAAAAGTTTCTCCACACAGGACTGAGCACTCTGGGACACTGTCCTGTCCACTGCCCAGAGGACCGGGTCCTCCACAGCAGGCACTCAGCAAGCTCCAAGTGCCAGCCACCACAGCTGCCGGCCACCAGCCCTTCTTTTGGAGGCTCCACAGAGGCAGCGGGTACCAATGCCACTGGCCCACACCTGCTCAGGGACACGGCATGGACTTGGCCCACCCTGCTCCAGGGCCAGCAGCCGGCCCTCACTGGGTCATCAAGGGACTGCCCATGGCCACACACAGAGGCCAGTCCATCTTGTCCACAGCAGGGACACCCCCATGCCACCTGTTCTCCTGGTCTGGACGCCACCTTCCTGGCCTTCCTTCTTCCTATCCAGGCCCTCTTCCTCCGGGCTGACCTCGTGCTGACCAGTCAGCCTGAGCCGCCTGCTTGTGCAACCCATGCAAACCCCGCCGTGCTGGGGCTGCACTCATCCCCAGCGGATCCACACTGCACTGGCCCACCTCAAGGCCCTTCCTTGCCCTCCAGACCCAGACCCAGCACAATGTCCCGGTCACCCCCATCCTGGCTTCCTCCCCGGAGAACCCACTGCGCTCTGTCCACGGGATCCTGGCAGCTGTGCGGCGGGCCTCACGTGTGACATTCCTGCCAACACAGCCTTGGACGCCGTCCCCCCCACTCTCCGCCAGGTGCCCTGTAGTGAGGCCCCACCTGGCCACTTCACCTCAACTGCAAGTCCCCTCCCCTACGCCCACAATCACCTTGTTCACACTTTTCTTCTAGCACTTGTCACCAAAGGCACCATAAAAAGCTGGGCATGGTGGTGCAAGGCCACCACCCTGTGCTGCAGGAGGCTGAGCAGCACCGTGGTAACTTCCAGCCTGGCCTTGTCATCTAGTGACCTGGTGACACCACACACCACCTTGCTGGCCGCCTATCGCAGGCTGAGGCCATCGCTGCCCACCTGAGGGCCTAGGCCGGCTGCACAGAGAGCTGTTCACACCGCGCACCGCGACCATGGCACTTTTCTCCTTCCTAAAAAGGCTGCTCCCTTCAAAGTCGCCCTAAGGAGACATGAGATCAAACACAATGCAACAGGGCACAACGGAGACCTTGGACAGTGAGGGCTCGCTGGGAAAGGCACCTGCAAGAACACTGCCACCGAGCCCAGGGACAGTGAGCCATCTACAGAAGGTCCTTGTGTGGGAGGGAGGCCAGGCCCATGTCTCCACTGAGCGCAGCCCACCCTCGTTCCCTCCCTCCCTCCTTCCCTCCCTCTTCCCTTCCTTCCTTCTTCCCTCCCTCCTCCCTCCGTCTTTTCCTTCCTCTTCCGTCCCTTCTTCCTTCCTCCCTCCTTCCCTCTTTCCCTCCCTTCTTCTCTCCCTTCCTCCTCCCTCCCTCTTTCCCTTCTTTCTTCTTCCCTCCCTCCCTCCTCCCTCCCTTCTTCCTTCCTCCCTCCCTCCTTCCCATCCACCCATCTAAAAGGTCCCAAGTTCCTTCCATGGCCCATTCTACCAGAGGCGTGCAGCTGCCCACCACCACTGCCTGCCGGGGCGCCTCCTCCTGAGGCCAGGATTACAGTGGGGGTGGCAGTCCTGGAAACCACAGATCTCCGCTCCTCCCGACACCACCTGTGGTTAGCTCCTGGCATCTGGCAGACTGCTGCACCTTTCATTCTTTCCTATGAAGTCACCAGGGCCCCTGCAAGTCTAAACGCTATGGCAGGACAGAGGTCTGCCCGCCACACTCCCCACCTCCAGCTGGGCCCTGCCACTGTGGAAAGCCCAGTTCAGACTCAGCTCCACTGGGAGCAGCCCATAATGCATACCACAGATCGAGACCACCCAAGCCTGGCAACTCGGCTGCACCCTGCAGAAGACCTTCTGTAGCTGAACTCGGGCCCACAAGAGCCACCCACTGGCCTCACAGACCTGCTGAGTTCAGAACACAGCCTGAACCAACTTCCTTATCACTTCTGCAGCAAGGGGACTGGCCAGGCCACCACTGAGCCCTCAGCAGGAGAAGGCAGGCTGGCCCAGCCCGCGTGGACCTGCTGCACCGCTCAGCGCGAGCTGCTGGCCTGGGGAGAATAGGGCCCAGAGGTGCCCACAGGACCCCAGGCCTTGGTGGTGCCAGTGCCATCAGCCCCGCTGAGCCCCGAATATGCCGCCTGTGGAGCTCACTGGCAGCCACCCTGCAGGATCAGCCCAGCTCTGAGCAGGGCACGGCCCACTGCTGGTGCTGGGGACACACAGCCTCCCCAAAACCAGGTCTTCCCTGAGCTCTGCTCTGCTGCCCCAGAGGAGCAGCGGGCAAGGCCCCAGCAAGCTCAGGCCCTTCATATACACTTCCTAACGTATCAGAAGTCAGCCTGAACTCACTACTGGTTTTGTTTTTCTTCTTTTTTTTTTCTACTACTGTTTTTCTTTCAAGCCAGGGAGATAGCTCAGTAGAATAAGCGCTTGCCTGGCAAACACAGGGTCCTGAGTTCAATCCCCAGTACTACAAAAAAAAAGTCAAGAAAAAAAAAAGCAAAAGTTAAAACACTGGTGTTCGTAGCACATGTTTATCAACATGGAAGTCCTGACTGGAGAGCCGCTCCAGGCAGGCACCTGCCTCATCTGCACCACAACGCGCATGAGCACAGGTGGGCACACAGGCCTACACGTACATGGTTCTGCCTACATAGCAAGCAGCAGAATGCACATAACTGACATACAGTGCAAAATACTCAACCTACACATCAACACGAAATACACACATGAAGCGGTGCAAGACGCACGCTTCTGAAACGCCCATCAGCTCTCAATCACCACACAGAGGGACCTGGCAGACTCATGGCGACATGGTGATCCCAGGGCTCAGCTCGCTCCCCAGCGTCCACACTGCTCCCCCAGGTGAGGGCCCTGTCGCAACACCACACCACACAGGCCACCAAGAGGAGTGCACAGAGGCACAGCCCAAGGCCTCTCGGACCCCAAGCTCTCTTGGACAGGCTGCCTGGCTGCACCAACAGCCCCGTGCCAGGCAGGCCACCCGCTGCCTGCGCACCTCATGGGACCCTGGCCAAGCCTTCCCACTGCAGAGCTCCTGCGGCCCCTGAAGGCAAGGCAGAGAGCTGCAACTCTGCCTCCCGCCACCTGTCTGCCTCTACCGCTATCCTGCGAATTGGGCAGGTGTGAGCACGGGCTGCTCTGGCATCCTGCAGATGAGAGTGCTCGCGCCCTCCTGCCCAGCTGTGCCACAGCAGGATGTACCACACGCCTGGGTACTCCAGGACCGTCACCTGCCCCAGCAGCGTACACCCTACACCAGTCACCTAAGCTGGACACTGCACCCCGCCCCCCCAGGACAGAACTGTCCAGAAACACCAGCAGGCCTGAGCAGCACGCCTGGGGCAAGTCTGCAAGGAGGAGCACCGACTCGGCAGGCAGCATACGGTCTAGGTTCCTTCCAAGCACTGGGAAAAAAGCTATTTTGTGTAACTTTGAGTTTTACCTCCTGCTCATGGTCCAGGGCTCCTCTGACAATAACTGCTCTGTGGGGAGGCTGCTCAACTGGGAACAGCAATGACACAAACGACTCTTTGACCCAAGTGACGCCCAGTGAAACATCCACACTGGCACTGAAGCCAGCGCAGCTTTCTAACAACAGCCACGTTCTACAAAACAGGAGCCCACAGCATACTTCCAACAGTAAGAGAGCAGGAGATGAGTGTGCAATCCCAGCACTCCGGGAGACTGAGGCAAGAGGATCCCGAGTTCGGGCCCAGTCAAGATCAAGGTAATGTATGGACCCCAGCTCAAAATACAAACTTTCAAAAGGGCTGGAGGCGCAGCTCAATGCAAAGGCTCTGGGGTCAACCCTCAGTACCCACCCAGCCCCCAAATGACTGAGCTGTGAAAGTGTTATTCCGGGTGAGGCTCGACTACGGGGCAAACAAGGAGCTCCCCTGCCCATCTGGACACCACAGCCAGGGCGAGGGCAAAGCCCGCTGCGCCCGGAATTCCTCAAGAGCCTGCTCTGGGAAGCACCGGGACTGGACACTGCAACCCTTGAGAGTCCACATCCTGCTCAGGACTCGACTCAAATTTTACAAGCAAAACCCAGGGCCCTGTGCAGCACAGCAGGCTTGCGGCAGGGTGCAGGGGAGGCTCCAGGAGCGGGGACTGAACAGGGTGGTCATCTCCTCGGCCCGCTGTACGCCGTGCCAACCTTCCAGGACAACTTGGGTGCAGGGTGCGCTGCCCCAGCCCTGGCCCCGGCCCAGCTGTGGCCTCCCACGCACTGCTCTGCGCCCAAGGGGCCTGGGCCCTGCTGTGTCCCCAGGGTCAAGACCGGGCCGTGAGCCGGGCCGCCCGGTGCTCTGTCCATACTAGGGACGCTCTGGGGTTCAGGGGCATCCTCATGGGGTGGGGGCGCTGCCCCACCTGTGCTCGGGGATTCCCGCCGGGAAGGAGCAGACACCCAGCTGGGCAGCGGGACCCAGTCTTGGGCATAGCCGCCCGGGGTGGGGGACACCCCTGAAAACTGGAGACCCTCGCTGGGGCTTGGGGCCGTCTGCGGACATCTGTATCGCAGCCCCCGCGCGGCCCCAGACCCCAGTTGGTTTAGCGACCTCGGGGACAGACAGCAGAGCAACTTCTAAAGGAAACAGGAAGACCCGCCAGCGGCAGCCCGGGACGCCAGGAGCCCCGCGGCACTCACCGTGCACCCGCGTCGCGCTCACCGTCCCGCGCCCCTCGCCCGACCGCCCAGCTCCGGCCCCGCCCAGCCAGGCGGCAATCCCGCCCCTACGCCGTCATTGGCCGCGCTGAGCAGCTCCAGGCGCCCATTGGTCGATGCACCTGCCCGCCTCTCGGCCGTGCCCCGCCCCCGCGTCCGCGCATTCCTCCGAGGCCACGTGGCCGCCCGCGCCCCCCCCCTGCTCAACGCCCGGTACCGCTGCGCACGCGTGGGAGGGGGCGTCGCGGGCCTGGCCCAGGAGCCGGCGGAAGGGACTGCCCGCCAACTCCGGGGACGTCCGCCTGCCGCGCCCTCCCTGGCTGAGCCCTGCGGCGGGAGCGGTTGCGGGAGCATCCGCCCTCCGCGCCGCCGACCGTCCCGCTCCGCGCGCCTTGCCAGGCGTCCTTCAGCCTCCGCTGCGGAGCAGGGCGAGAGAAGCCGCAGACCGCGGCCAGGGACAACCGTCCCGCCTGCTGGGGGCTCGGCCCCACTGACCCCGCCGCGCTTGGGCGCTAATGCCTCGAAGCGGCCACACTGCGTGGACCTGCGGTGAAAACCCTCGCAGGTGCCCGCCCTTCGGGTGGAATTCTTTGCCCAGGGCATGCACTGGCATTATAACTTTAAAAAGAAAGCAAACTATCCGAACTCCTGCAGCAGGAAAGAGCGGAGACAAAAGCATTCTTAATCAAAGGACCGCTGAAGACTGCCAGATGCGCAGCTCCTCTGGCAGGCAGCGAGTGGGGTGGGCGCAGAATGCAGATCCCCGCGTTGACCCCAGCAGAGCTCTCCAGTATGTAGAAGTCAGCCGGTCCGGGAATGAGAGCTGCCGGCGCACCCCCAGGCCCTCACCCACTCAGCGAAGTGCAAAGAGCCCCTAGCATCCTGGATGTCAGGAATTACTCTGAACCTGCGCCATGCCCAGCGGTGCTGTGCTATGCCCTCGCAGCTGTGCTCTGAAAACCCGAAGGGAAAGACTAGAATGAGGCGGAGCTGCGGGAGGTACAGACCTTCCGTGATAGATGCCATCATTACCCACACCTAAGCAGTACCGATAAACTCTGATTGGAAACTGTCAAAGACTTGAATGGTTGGAAATACAATGACACGTGGTCCTGCTTGTTAGTAACGTTTGTTCATTTAGTAGGAACGGACAAATCATTCCTCAATACTGGAAGGACCTATCTTACAGCACACTCTGAAAATACATTAGTGGGATGAACTGAAAAGGCATTTCCTTCTCCTCACCTCAGATTAGAAAACTCATTCCAGTTTTCCGTTCCTAGGTTCTTCAAGTCCCTTGTCCAAGGCCTTCCATGAGCTGATGAGCAGCCCTGGTCACCAGAGCTGAGCTGCTCAGCCGCATTAGTGCTGTCCCCCACACAAGGATGTCCTGATGCGGGGGCAGAGGGAAGGGCACCATGGCAGTCCGCAGTCCAATGCGCAGAGCCACGCTCTGCGCTGGGCATGGCCTGGGGCAGAGAAGGCCTCAGGGACTGCTGCCGCACATCTGCCCTGGGGCTCTGCAGAGGTGGGAAAGTTGGGATTTTCCCTCATGATTCCCTCTGTGATCTATGAGTTATTAGGGAACTAGGTTTCATTATCAAATGTTTAGGGATTTTCCATTTTTCATTAGAAATAAAGTTTAGTTTCACCGTGACCCAAGAATATGTTCTATATGGTTTTAGTCCTTTAAATCTGCCAAGATGCACTTCGTGGTCCGAGGTCTATTTGGGAAAACGTCTCCAGCCAGTCACTGATGAAATGGTGGGTCCACCAAGAGGTCACCCACATGCCTGAGCTGAGTGTCTCTGATGCTGGCTCCCTCAGTCCCGGAGTGGGTTTATGTCCTCAGGCCATCCAGCTCTAAGCAACTGCTGCTCGCCTAATCAGCGACACAAGAAAAACGAGACACGAGGTGAGAGGTGGGAAACAAATATTCACAATGTGGAAGACCCAAAGTCATCTACAAGCGAACTATTATAATTAAAAATGGAATTCAGGAGTTTGAGGGGGATCATAGACATAACTGTCAAAAGTAAACTAAAATTGTGAAAGAAAATTTAAAAGATCAGACTGGTGTTCGGGTAGCCACACGGCACACTGACCTTTTGGAAATAGTGGAATGTCTTTCACCAAAATGAAAAGCTCTGCAAGCAGCAAGCGTCACGGGTGGGGGATCAGTCCACCGTGCTGTTGTGAGGCTAGGCTGCGCAGCCTCTTAGGTTGGCACTTGGCAGTGCAGAGAACCTATCTCGGCAGGTGCATGCTGAGGAGGCAGGACCTGCCCAGAGGACCCTGCAAGAATTCATTTGTAACAGTCCAAGCAGTGCAGGACGGCTCCAGTGGTTGAGAGCCAAAACCCACCAGGTTCATTGCAGGGAAGGCCTTTGGAGCAACAGTGCAGCGCAGGGTGACAGGGACCGTGGTCACACTACCAGCAGTGGCAATGTGTCTGCCAGACACCTACTTACAGAGGGTGGGTGACAGCACATATGTGGCAAATGGGATCCCAGGATAAGCCATGCTAACCTCTTACCCAAGGAACTGCACAAGGTCTGCTTTCAGGAGAATGACTGAGAAATGGCAGATTGGGAGCATGATGAAAATGATTCGGGATACAAGTACTCTGTGCGTCACTGTGTTCCTTTGTAAGCTTATTAGGCTGAGCACAAGAGTAGGGTGCTTCAGCAGGCGTGTGTTACCACTGGGTCTGAGTGTGCCGCCTGACGTTCATATGCTGAAACTCAATAGCTGATGTGCTAGCCAGCTCCTGAGGCTGGGCCCGAGCCTTGCAGCTGAGCTTAAGGAAGGAGAAGCTTATTTGGCTCACGGTTTCAGGACCTCTGGTTCATGGTCAGGTGGCTTCACACAGAAACAGTGGGGCAGAAGGGCATGGTGGACGGAAGGCTGCCTGCCAAGCCTGGGTCAACCGGACTCCTAGAGAAAAGTGAGGTGGCAGGAGCCAGAAACTAGAGCACACCCTCCGGGTGCCTGCCTCCAGGCAGGCCGCACCTCCCGGCAGTACGTTCACCTGTGACCTCACTGAGGGGTGAGTCCACTGGGCATGCAGAAGTCCAGGATCCCCTGAGCACGGGAGACTTTGGGGATCATTGTTTGTCTAAACCAGAAGAGCAGGCGTGATGGTTGTGAAGAGCAGACGTCAGCTGCATGTGAAAGTGCACACTGCAATCCCAGCACTCCAGGAAGCGAAGGTAGCAGGATGGCAAATTTGACAATTAGGCAGACCCTGTCTCAAAATATAAAGAGGACAGGAACATAACTCAGTGCGAAGGCCCTGGTTCACTCCTCAATGTCACAAAAGACAGGTGATATCTTTAGGAGGTGCTTCCCTCATGAGGGCCTCCCATGAGTGGGGTTCATACCCCCACTCAAGCACCTCCCACTCTTTCTGGCCTTTGGCCTTCCATCTCTCCTGCCACAAGACGAGGATATGGCCCACAAGTACCATCTAGAGACAGAGGGACCTCTTGGGATGTGGCCAGAGTCTGCTTTGACCCCATGTGAAGAGCACAGAGATGGCTATCAATAAAGAGAGGTTTCTATGTTGGGCTGATGGTGTTTCAGACATTCATCTTTATCAGCTGCATGTGAGCTCTGTGCATGGTGAGGAGGCAGTCATGCCCCCATCCAGGTGATTGGGAGGCAGGCAAAGTGCAGGGTGCCTTGCTGGCTCTGGGTGCCCTCCCCGCGTGGCCTGGGGAGAGACTCGCCTGTCACAGGCACTGGTGTGCCAGGTTCACCTCAGCCTCTGTGTCAGGCTAGTGTGGGAGGGACTTCAGGCGCATAGCACTGGTAGTGGGCATCCTGGTTGGGGCAGGGGGCAGTGGAGTGGGAGAGCCACGAAGGCTGGCACTGAGCACAGGGCTGCAGAAGCTCAGCGCATCCCCGGGCTTCACACACAGCTGTGCCAAGGCAAACAACAGCAGCCAAATAAATGCCACCAAGCCAGCTGGACAGCTCCTGCAGGGCAGCAGTGCCATGGCAGGGCAGGGTCACTGGTGCCGGAGGGACATGTTCCCATCCTGCCAGCCTTGTGCAGATCTCAGAGCTCTCCAGCTCCCTTGATAGCAGTGCCTTCTGGTCGGAAACCTTGCTAGCACTCTGGACAGAGACTGGGGTCACCATGAGCAGCCCTGCCACAACAGGATAGGACAGGGCAGAGGGTGACCAGTGCGGCCTCCAGGCCACGCCCTCGTGGCTCTGGGGTTGCAGGACCAGCAGCTGTCCGAGTGGGTGATGTCACGGGGAAACTCACAGCAGTCTGGGAGCCAGCTTCCTGGTGAGACCACAGGTCTCCCAGCTGTCCTTGCCCCTGCCAATGACCACACAGCCAGGCTACTGCCTCCCTCCTGTGTTTGCAGAGGTGTTCCATCCCTGCCTTGCCACAGTGGGGAGAGTCCTTGGGCACTGCAGGAGAGGGGACGAGCAACTCTCTTGGGCTGAGCTCTGCGTCCCTGAGTCCAGCCAGGGCTGCTAATCCAGGGGACAGGCCTGGCACTCTGATCCAGGGGACAGGCCAGGGGACGCCCATCCCCTCAGAGGCCTTTGGAGGAGCTCTGGACCTCCACATCGCCCCCCAGCCTCTTTGATGGGCGGATCCCGAAGAGAACAGAGGGGCAGGTGAAAGGATATGGAAGGGAGAGGCAGCTTGGGACAGCAGAGACCAGGCTGGCTCCCTGTGGTCTCAGAAGGACCCTGTCGTCTGAGGGGAGGAGGACACAGCCCCCAGGAGGAACAGCGATGCTTTCTTTCCAGAGCTCTGGCCACAGCTGAGCCTGTCTGCTGCAGCTCTGCATGACTGGGCGGCCAACATTTGGGCAAGAGGAGGGAGGGCTCCTACCCCCAGGGCACTGGCCGAGCCTGAGGCTTCCCCTCTGGCTACTCCTGTCCATTCAGCCCCAGCCTCTGCCCAGCAGCCATAGTGGGCAGCTGGAGCAGGACAGAGGTCAGTGAAGGAGGGGCTGCCACCTGATGGCTCTGGGGTGGGAGCAGAGCGGAGGGAGCCTGCACCCCTCGG